TGTTACCCCAAACAATTTCCTTTTGCCCTGTTTTTTTTTTTTTTGGGGGGGGGGGGGTCCTAGCTATGGGTCTGGCTGGGGTCCGAACAGTGCCAGCACTGTTGGGGTAGGGTGGTGCAAAGCGAGCATCTGCTCGGCACCCCCCAAACCATCCACCGCCCTAGAGCTTGGGCCAGTGGGAGGGCACAGAGCATCCCCAGCCCTTGGCAGGGTGCCAAGCTGCTGGGCCAGAGGGACGTGAGCACGGGGCAGGCAAAAAGCGGGGTTGCCCTGCCCGCACCAGGCCTGGATGCGAGGGATGCTTTATGGCTCTGTGGTGAGGGTGAGCGGGACCCAAAGGTGCTGCCTGCCCGCAGGACAGGCCCATCTCCCCAGCACAGGGATCACCCTGCCATCACACTCGCCTGGAGGTGCTGGGGGTCCCCGCGGCAGTGCCCTAGGTGGCAGTGCCCGGGGGATGCAGTGGGATGGCAGGGACGGGGACAATGAGGCTGCGCTCCCCACCTCGGCCTCTGGCCAGCCCTGGCCCCAGCTGCCTAGGGAAGGTGTCAGGGATAGATATGGCAGCAATTTGTAGGCTTCATCTGAATAACCAGCCACCAAGGAAGATCAGCCGCCCACCGCCCCGGCCAAGTATTGTTTTTGGAATTAGATGCTTCTTTTTTCGGCTCCTGTCTTACTTTTCTTTGACCTTCTTCCCTGATTTAAGACACATGCCCAGCGCTTGCCCAGCTGCACTGAGTTAGCGGCTCCTGTTGGGGAGGGAACCAGGTCCCGCAGCTGTGGGGGCTGTAGATGCCCCAGGAGCACCTGGTGGGGATGAGTCCCTTGGCAGAGGTGGGTCTGCCTGTTTGAGATGGCTTTTCCAGCAGGATGAGTCCCTGGGAAAGGGATGAGTCCCTGTGGTCAGGATGAGTCTGCACAGTTGAGAGGGGTTCTCTGGCAGGATGGGTCTCATGGCAGGGATGGGTCCCCTGGTGTAGGTGGGTCTTCATAGTTGAGATGCGTCTCCCAGCAGGATGAGTCCCTGTGGCAGGATGGGTCCCCCAGCAGGGATGAATTCCTCTGGTAGGTCCCTACAGGTTGAAATGGGTCCCCCAGCAAGGATTGATCCCCACAGTCAGGATGGGTGCCCAAGAAGGGGTGGGTGTCTCAGCAGGGATGGGTCCCCAAGGTTGGGATGGGTCCTGGGTAGAGATGGGTGCACCGGCGGGATGGGTGCCATGGTCAGGAGGTGGTGGTTGCACCTGTGCCAAGCGGATGCCCCTTTGCCTTCCTGGCTCTGCCTGTCCCTGGAGCGGTGCCTATCCCCAGCTATGCTGGCGTGGGGGATCAGGCAGGGGTGTGAGGGGGTGCCCACTGGAGTCATGACTCGGGTGATGCTGCTTTTTGGAGATGCTGCTGGGCTCAGTGCAGGGAAAGGGTGGGTCATCAGCTCCAGGGCCAGCAGGGTCTGTGCCTGGAGGTCTGTGCTGGCCGCTAGTGGGGTTTGTGCTGGGGGAGCTGGTTTGGGGGTGACTCAGGTCCATGCTGTGGGGGGCTGGTTCAGGGTTAACGAGGTCTATGCTGGAGGTGGCGTCCAGTTTGGGATTAGTGAGGCCCGCATGGGGCCGATATGCGCAGGACGCTGGTGCGGGGGTCACCGTCCGTTCCAGCCAGGGTCACTTGGGGACAGGGATCAGCATCTCCTGCCCCAAGGCCGGCCTGGGTCAGCTGCTGCCGCTGGAGCTGCTCGTTCGCTCGCCCCGTCCATCTGTCGGGCTAAACCCTCCTGGATCTATCCCTCTCGGGATCCTGCCCACCGCAGGGAGAGGGGTTGGGAAGCAAGAAAAAGCGGAAAAAAAATACAGAGAAACCGTCTTGGAGTGGTTAGGGTGGGCCGAGCCACGGGGGACCAGCAGGATGGGGAAGGGGCCACGTTTACACCCTCCATCTTGGAGCAAAACCACCCGGAGAAGAAAAACAATCCCTGGGCAAAAGTGCTGCTTCTGG